TTATTCTGGAGGAATCTGCTTTAATTTTTCGATTTGATCTACTAAAGTGTGTTTGGTCCCACATTTTAAGGACGAAGGTTTAAACCAAAAAACGTCCTTATAAATATACACCACCCAACAACCATCCAAAATTCACTGCCCTTCCTTCAGACCCTTCAAAAGAAGCTGGCCTGAAACAGCCACACTGCCGACACACGTACCCTCCACCACAACTAATGCATAACTGCATCCGTGGAGCACCACCCATCAAGCTCAAACCTCCTGGGTTAAAAAGATAGAAAGGAGTTAGGACAATGAAGATTCTCATCCTCGGCAATATGTAATTAGGACCTAAGGCTGCTGGATCAGTTAGTGGCAGGATACTTCAGCTAGAAAGGTTACATAGACTTGATGTGGAAGGTGGAAAGCTGCAAGGAACACAGGAGGAAGCCAGTTCCCAAAAGTAAAAAAATAGAATATAAGCACTTTCTGAGAGAGTAGAGGAAATGAGGAGAGATGAATCGTGCAGGAATAGGGCAAGGGTGGGAAGAAGAACGGGGTTTCTTAATTTCCCTTGGTTTCTGGAAGCCTTTCCTGGATTTCCCGTCAATCTTTCCAGTGAGAAGGCTGGTTTAGGTGGGGCCTAGGGCTGTTTCCTGGCCTCTCCTTAGATTACCAAAAGGAACTTTGTATCTGTTGCAAACATTCTTCCCTTTTTAGTTGAGCTACCTTTGACGATAGTTTTCTTGTTCCTAATAATTTCAAAAGACTCTTCACTTAGAACATTCATTTTGGTAGAGATTACCAAATTTCTGGCAACAGAGGGTGAGTTAATGGTGCCAAACATGTGATAAATTTCCTTGTCGCATGGGACTCATAACATTGGAATTGGATAGTAATCATAAATTTGAGAAGAAATGGTTAAAGTGCACACTTCATGATAATTTTCAGTAGTTAAAATTCTAAGTTCATTGTCCCTGGAGCCCCCTTTACGTAAAAGACTGCTTCCTGCCAACATTTAATCCTTTGGATTCTATACCACTTTAACCAGCCACTTACTGACCTTAATATTGTTTAAGTGTAATCAATAAGGGGAAGGGCCAAAGGAAGTGATTCAAATATGGGTATTTATTTTGTGAAAAAATCACTGAATTGAATCTGTTTTGAGTCATCTTTTCTGTGTGTTGCTATATTTTGGCTTTATTTGAGGATAATAAACACCCATCAGAGAATGAAAATCAATTAAATTATGAGATTTCAAAGTCAAGGTTTTCCTGCTTTTTTAGGTAGCTATTTTAGGGCAGGAAAGAATAAGAGAGCACGTATCAGTTTTCAAATTCTATCCCAGTACTGGGATCTTCCTCCAACAACCAATATAGATGAAAATTCCATTTTGTTGGTAGCTAGTTGTGATCTAACTATAGGCCCTGTCTCTCTTCTCTACGGGAAATTACACAAAACTTCAACTTGCCTCAACTTGTACATCCTCTCTAATTTCATTCAAGTTTAAATATAAGATGGAAAAACTTCAAAGCAAAAAGTCAGGTTGCTCTGGCCAGAATTACCACTACGACAGGCTGTGAGCATCAGTTACTATGCATAAAGCAAATTTTGTTAAATTTCTACCTTGATTTGTACCCTGACATTTTAATCTGTAGTCAAAGTAGGAACGTAAACCTGGGTTCCTCAAAACAATGAAGAAAAAAAAGAGGAAACTGCTATTCATTCATGGAGTACTTTTCAATCTTACTGTATTTGCTTTTATTTGAAAAGTTATTCTTTTAAAAAGCTGAACTGATTTGTTTTTAATTTTCCTTATTCTTACAGTTATTTTGATCTTTTATCTCTAATAATAAGACAGGAGAGAGGTAGAGGAAGGAGAAGCAAGGAGGTAGTAGCAGGTGAGGAAGAGAAGGAAGAGTTAATGGCTACCATGTTGGCATGCTTACTCTGTGCCAGGCATTGCTTTTATGAGCTATGTATATATTATTATTACATTTGCCTTCATACAATCTCTTGCAATAGTGGTGACAGTAGTTACTGTCCAAAGTAACTGCTGGTAGTGCATAAGGCACTGTCTTAACCCATCACTGCTCTGGGAAGCCAGGAGGACAGTGCAGGCTTCGGACCTAGGGTGTGCTGGGTTCCAATCCTGGCCATCAGCTATGTACACCTTCCTGTGCCACCTTGGGGAAGTCATGCAATCTCTCTATGACTCAGTTTGACTCAGTTTCCTCATCTGTAATATCAATAATAGCACCTACTTTAGAAGTATTATATATATAGTCTTGCCGGCCATGTAAGTGGTAACCGTCATTGTTATAAAGGATGATTTTAACGGAAACACAAATTAACATCCTTCATTTTAGAATATACTCTTTTAAAGCTTTTCCAGTTGCAGCCAGCTCCAAAGCTAGCAACCAAAAAATATATATTTCTCCCTACCCTCAAACTAAGGCATAAGGCAAATATCTAAATCCCAAGTACTAATTGACTACGTAAATAACAACTGTTGGCTTAGTCTAATACATCAAGTTGGCAAACTATTAATAGTATATTTTCTCCTTTTATATCCATAACTACCTTAGAGAGTGAAATCATTGGCATACGTTTGTCAGGTAAGATGGACTCAGAACAAAGTGTGAGATTAACCAACTGTTTCACAGCACTCTGCAAAGGAGCCTCCTACAATCCATCTCCATGGAAGAAAAGGACTTGCTGCTGGGATTGGAACACTCAAAAATCTATGGTCCAAACTCCCTCTCCTTGGACAGTTCTTGGGGGAACATGACTAGTTATTTTCCTCTGTGACTTACATGATCTAAAAGATGTGTTTTTTTCTTTACATATGTTAACACATTAAATCAGATTACAAACAGGACTTCTTGGCCTAGAAATTATTTTGTAAAGAGACTTTACGTAACCTTTCATCTGTATGAATTATACAGTTTAACTTTCAAAAGATAATCTTACTTCTGTCATTTCCAATTTTTTTTTTTTTTTTTTTTTGAGACAGAGTCTCACTTTGTTGCCCAGGCTAGAGTGAGTGCCGTGGCGTCAGCCTAGCTCACAGCAACCTCAAACTCCTGGGCTCGAGCGATCCTTCTGTCTCAGCCTCCGAGTAGCTGGGACTACAGGCATGCCGCACCGATGCCGGCTATATTTTTTTATTATATATATCAGTTGGCCAATTAGTTTCTTTCTATTTATAGTAGAGGACGTGGTCTCACTCTTGTCAGCTGGTTTTGAACTCCTGACCTTGAGCAATCCGCCCGCCTCGGCCTCCCAGAGAGCTAGGATTACAGGCGTGAGCCACCGCGCCCGGCCATTTCCAATTTTTAATCACAAGCCTTACTTTAACCTCCACATACTAAAATGCAATATATATTCATTAAAAGCAAGACTGAAAATGGTAATGTATAATCTCAATTATATTTTTCAAAAGGGAAAAGTGACTATATAAGGAGCCAGAAAAAAGCAGCAAAACTTTTGTTTCTGATGAATTAATAAGACAGAACATATTGAGCCATACATAGGTACATTTGCTTAATCTTTTTAAAGGTATATAAAAAAAGAACACTGATATGTACTGATGAAACACAGTTCTCAATAGCCCTTACATATTTTTATATTTTATATTCATGTTTATATCACATCTAACCAGGTATTTTATAACCAGGTACTAACAGGGCTCTTTCATTCTTATCTCATCCCAAGACCCCACTTTCTTCTCCCCCTCCGCTCAAAGATTTTAAGCTGTAATAAAATCCGTGTCTGTTTTGTGCTTATCTCCGTGGGTCCTGTCCACAGTAGACACACTAATGTTAGCAGAATGGATTCTGTGACTGAATGTGTATTCAGTTACCTACAGCATTTAGACCATTTTTAATTGAACACCAGAGACACACAATCACCTCCTATTATTGGCAACTTTTTGTTTAAAGCATAATTTTCATTTTAAATAATTCAACATTTAGAGCTTATATATCCTTATGATTTACTCTGACTTCCAGGGCTAAATGTCACCAAGACAGGAGCTATAAGTACCTGTTTGCTTCCTTAAGAAGCCAAATAGCTACACTCCCACAAGTAATTGCTTGAGAAGGCAATTTGCATTAATAGGAACAGAGGTGAAGACTACTATAATATTATCCTTCCTGCTTACACTCTAAATGCCTTCCTCCACCTTAGTTTCCTCCAACAACTAAATGAATAATCAGTCTGCAAGGGAGAGAGGGGAGGGGTTTGCTCAGCATCACAAAGTCTCTTTCTATAAGGCATGATCTGAGCTAACATCTTCTCAATGTGCTTTCTTTTTAGCCTAATAAACTCTTCCCTTTTGCAAACCATAAAGTTGCCTTACACGCACAGTTAAAAGAAATAATAAAATAATACAAAACTATAAGCTAGTAAAACAAGTATTTAAAAATGCCATATGATGGCAAATTTTAGCTCATGTATATTTTACCACAATTAAAAAAGAAAAAGTAGTGTAACCCATATAAGATGGAAGACTAACAGCATGAAGCAGTGCATATGCACTCTATTACAACTCCATAATAAGACCCAGGTGAAGAATTCCAACATCCTTACAAAAGCACCAAAGAAACAAAAGCATCAAAAACAAACAAACAAAGTCAGACATTAAAAGGGAGGAATTCTGCATGCCATGGTAAAGCTGCTTCTTTTTACAAAAAAAAAAAAAACATCCAATGTGTACAAAACTTGGCAACAGATAGATAGTAAAAAAAAAAAAAAAAAAAGTAAAAAAGAAACATCAAAATCATTTCCATACCCCTTGAACTACAGTGTCAAATACTTCTTTTAATTTATACATTACTCATGGTATACAAGAAATCCTCCCTTGAAATTAGGAATTCACTAGAGAAAAAGATACTCCAAATGCAAGAAAAATTATGTAGTGGACAAACATGACCAACCAACGTGGCATGATCATCTAATCTCAGCATACTTGTCTTAAGCAACTGCTAGACTGCAGTGATGGTTCAAACTCTCCTTACCTAAAGGAATGTGAAAAGGCTTGCAATCTGTAAGAAGCCAGAGTAAGCATTAAAAAAGAAAGGAAGTTCTGATAAATCTAAAACAATTAAATAACCTACTTTTAAAAAGTGGTATAATGTTTTACCTGGGCTCTAAAGTACTACACAATTCAGTCAGCATAAAAAGAAATCAAAGCACCTAATAGATGTATATATAATTGTCAAAAGAGTTCAAGAAAGCTATTATTTATTACATTACGCTCAGAATGATGATAGTCCAAATATAACAAAGCAAGGAATTTAGTTCTTTTGGTGCAAAGTATAACACATTAATTGACCTATTCAACTGACAAAATTCTGGTTGTAAAATCTACTTTCCCCACAAAAATGAAAAACACAAAGCCATGCAATCTGAGCATTTGTCATGTTTTGTTTTGTTCTAAAACACACATCTTGCATGCCAACAGAAGCTCACTTAAACCACATTTGTCACTGGCAGCAATATTCTAATCCACGTGGGAAGAAGGGGACACAAAAGTACCATGAAGCGGTTTTATCAAAACGGCAAGGAAAATTCTGCAGACTAAGCTAAATACAGAGGGCAAATAAAAAGCAATGGCTCAAAAATCAAGATTTGGGCCTAAGCATGATGGAGATATGGCTCATAGGTTAGTACAAATCAGTGCATGAATGGGCATGTTGTAATCGCATCATGGTATAAAAATGTCATGCACAGAAAGTAAAGCCAGGCCTCAATTCAAGTGTGCACTTCAATGCTCCTGTACTCTTCCCCAGTGAGACACCAGGCTCTGCCCACAATCACAAGTTTGCAACCACCAGAGACATACTTACCCTGATGCTCATGAAGGACTGAAAATGAGACACAGACGTTCACAACCAGAATTTTTCAACAACCTTAAATGGATTCATGAGAAGATCATTTTGAAGTTAGAATGCTATGCCTAAGAGAAGTGAGGCAAGCATTTCAGGTCCTGGTTTGAAGGAGTGTTCTCCCTCATGCTAACAGAAGAATCCAGCATCAGCCAGAGCCAAAGTCAGGAAACAAATGCAATCACAGTAACAGTTTCATTTGCCTTAGCTACTCAGTAAGCAAGGAAAAATGAAGACATACTTTACATCTTCCAGCTTTTTGGTGATGACGGAGCCAACAGATGAGAAAGCAGCTGAAGCCTTCTGTCCGGCCTGAGTCAAGGTTTCAGATGTCTTCTTGTATCTGCATGAAATTATAAACAAACAGAGCAAAGTCAGCTAACTTTTCCAACATCAATTATTTCAAGTGCAGTGGTCACCACCTATTGGAGAACTCTTTAAAAAAAGTATTCTTAACAACTTCTAAGATCCTTCATAACTACCTCCGTAGCATCATCGCAGCATCTTATACTTTAACCATCATCTCAGGCACAATGTTCTGCAGTTCTCTAGTCCAGCCGGAAACACAGAGGCCTAGCAAGGCAGGGCCAATGAAGTCAGGGTGAGGGCTAAAAATAGTCATGGAACAAAAACAAAAATGAGCCAAAATCTAAAAGAAATTATACCACCTGTTCCTTCCTTTTTCATGTAAGCCAAACAAAACAAAAATGAAATAAAATTCCTCAGATGCCTTTTACAACTTGACCTCCTAAAAACAAGGGGCCAGAAGCAACAAGCAGGTTGAGATGAGCAGGCCCCCCATGTGTATTTAATTATCCAAATATACTTTATGGGCATGAAGAATTTTTTAAAATTTTGCATGTCTGCATAGCTACCAAATAAGGACTTGCTGGACTCTCAGCATATTATGTAAAAGATATAATACTTAAAATGATTCTAGTATGATACTTGCTATAATGCAAAGATGTAATTTACCACCTCCTTCCCAGCTACCCAGGGATTGGAGAACAAAAAAAGAAAAACAAAAACCACCAAAAAAAAAAAAAAAAACAAAAAACAGAACAAAAGAATATGGTATCTACCAAAAAGGTTAAGACTCCCATATTATCAAAATGAATGCTCAGGCATTTTTACTTACCCTGCCAAGATCAAATACCAAGAATAAATGGGGTTTAATGTAATACAGTCAAAGACTAGTTTCCTGCATGCTTTCCCATTGTCAACTTACATCGATAGAAAATGGACCAAAAGAATGGGCACCTGAGTACTGTCATGTCAGATGCAGTTGGCTTCACTGCTGACCGTTAAATTATGAAACAACTCTAAGCTCATCAGCTTAGCAGATGGGCCTGAATACAGGAGACAGAGCAGTTCAGAATCTGTTGCTAGAAGCTTGCTCCTCCTTGTGCCAGGAAACGAAACTGCATCATGATAATACTAAAACATAACTATGTGTGATCAAAAAGACAAAAAGCTTAAGAGATTGGACTCTGCCACGAGCACATATCAGAGACAGTGACCCAAGAATCTTCTAATACATGCAGAGCAGGGTTAAAAAAAAAAAATGGTTCCAGACCTGAATTCAAACCCTGACTTCATATTTTAAGAGGTATGTGACCTCAAAAGTTACCGGTATCCGAGCCTGTTTTCTTAGCTAGAGTGATCCCACCACCCCTTCCACTGGGTTATCCTGAGGATTAAATAACACAATGTATATATTTGGCAAGTAAATATATAAATTTTTGGAACTTGAATTTTCTTTGTTCAACTCACATATGAGGCTGGTTTTCTTTCTATTCCCTAGAACAAATAGTCTGGAAAACCAAAGTTACAAAAGAGGCAGGTACACTTGAGAATTGGAAAGAAAACACCCCATGTGGTCCAAAGAAAAGCTGCAGAAGCATCTTTCTCTTTCCCTCCCCAGGTGAGCAAAAGCGTCCCTTATATTTCCTAAAAAAACGTATAATCAAGGGAACATACGCAGAAGTTGCTGTCACATCTTGCCACCCTTTGGCAATGTTCTGTTTTAGTTCCTGCAGTGAACTGATTCCAAGTTTCCGCTTGATCTCTGCTAGGTGCTTCTCTTTTGCTGCTAACACTTGAGACAGAGTCTGGATTTCTTCTTCTACCTACAAGGAAGGGGGTTGGGGTGGGAATACAGCAAGGGCAATTCAGTAAGTTAAGATTATAAGTGCAAAACTACACCCAAAATTGTAGAGTCATGTTTAAAACATTTTTTCAATTTATTTATCTATTTAAAAACCACATATAATGTTACGTAAATTGGTTACATGCTGATTTCCCCCGTACAGCTTCTCTTTTCTCTTCCATGGTAGCTCTTCATATTCCCATCTTCATGTGTCCTTGGCCTCCTCCCCTCTCCCTATACTTCCTCACTTAGTGACCTGTAGGTTTAGGGCTCAAGCCCTCTATACAGAGAATACTCAAATAACTGTAACATCCACTCTCCTGACCTCTGCGTCCATCCTTCCAGCTAGACATTTCTACTTGGATTCCCAGGAAAACTCACATTTGTGTATACCAAATCAAAATAATGTCCATCCCTGACCAACACACACCTAATCAAGCCAAACCCAAATCCAACCTTCTTACCTAATTCCTATGAGTTTATACTAGATATGTCAGTTTCATGTCTGCCAAAGCCACAGCCATAATAAATCAAACTGTCTCCCTGAGAGAGAGCCCTACAGAAGTCCCGTGTGGACCCGTTACTGCTGATGGCCCAGGCTGAGCTAAGTGGTTAGAGGTGGGCCCATGACCCAAGGACAGCCACCCACCAAGTGGCCAGGAATCAGTGGTGAGCCTGGTGTGAAAAGAGGTACTCAACTAACCAGTCTCTGTCACCCAGGAACACGGTTTGAGAACTGAGATGACAATGAGTAGAAGACGGAAAAACTTGAAGAAAGACGCCTTGAAGGATAGGTAGGACACAGTGAGATGATGAGATGTTGTAGAAAGCTTATATATACTTAAGGAAGCCAAAATGGCAAGCAGAAGCTATGAAGACAAGAAAAAAAAGACTGGCAGAATAGAATAAACAACTCAACAGAAAAAAACCCACAAAAACAAACAAACCCCCCACAACCAAATCCAATTAATTATTCTTTTAATTGCTACGTAAACATCTCTGCAGGAGAGATATTCACGTTACTAACCTTAGAGGCAGGGTTTATGCTACTCTAAGTGGCTGCCAGTTAGAAACTTACATTCTCGTTAGCCCGTTAGCAACACCGTTCTCTCACCGGCAAAAAGGATAGGCAAGATGGCTGACCAGAGATATCAGTCGCCAGATCACCTCAGGAAGAGGAGAAAGTCTCAGATGAAAAAGCATAGCCCAGGTGTAATTCAGAGGGAAGAGTGCCAGAACCTACTGGAGATCCCACAGGAAGAAGTTGCAGAACAGAACAGGATTTCAGCAGAAATCCACTGCCAAGGAATTTGCAGCCCCATGGAGAAGGTAGGTGCCGGTGTTGTTTCTCCTTCCCTCGCACCTCTGGCAGGCTGCAGGCTCCTGAACTGCCAGAGAGGCCCTCTCCCTGCACAAGCCCAAGTGCTGCTGCCATCAGTGAGCTTCTTGAGAACAGAGCACCAGGCTACCAGCCCTCTGGGGGTCACTCCCCCTTCACCACAGACCTGAGTGGAGGCAGTGGATGCCAAACTATTTTTCCACCCATTGTGCGCCTCTCTTCTCCCCAGGGAGCTTCAGCCCTTCAGTTGTCCTCACTAAATCCCACACAGACATTGCCCAAAACCTGCTCGGACTGTAGTAGCCACAGGAGCCTGGTAGGTCCTGGGGAACTGTGTGTGACCCCAGAGCTTGGTCACTCAGGGCAGGCTGCCTTCAGGCGTGGAGAGTGCAGCATGCCAGGGGGGGCCTCAGAACAAAGGGACAAAGGTCCCAGCTCTCCTCCATTCCAACTCTTCTTCTTCTCCTCCCCTCCCCCACCCACTGCTGCTAATGCAGGGCATACCCCAAGGTGGAGGGACATTAAGCCTGCCTAAGTACTCCACAGGAAACTTGGGACCACACACTTCTCCTTGGCACAGTCAGGGATTGAACTCAAAGGATCAGAGGACAGGTCCGCAGGCCAGATCCTGCACCCCCAGCACTGGGTCATATCATTCAGGGGCACAGAGGAGAGATTTGTGAACTGATCTTGAGACAGGAGGGAATCCAGGTGGGCAGAATCAAAAGGAGAGTATGGCATGGGTATGAGCTGCAGCATTGTTGCTAAGTATCTGACCCCCCCACAGGAAAGCCATGCTTTCAGTACGGGGCCGGGGGTAGGGGTACCACGCAGAGAAGTTGCAGCCTTCAGCAGCATTACTGATAAGGGTGCTTTGGGCGGCTGCTTGCGGCCAGATGCTGGAGCGAAATCTGCAGGAAAGGGAAGTAGCAGAAGAGTGAAATGCACTCCTACCTGCTGGACTATGAATTCCAAACTGCCCCTCCCCAACAAGCAGACTTTTTAGCCTGGTGGGGCTGCCTCAGCCTCCTCCCAGTGGCTTTCCCCAGCAGCCCAGAGGCAACCCCTGAGCTCTGCTGAGACAGCTCTTGTGCCCGCCTTTGTGGAGCCTGAACAGTGGCTCACCCACCCCACCCCTGCCCAGCCTCACTCCTCCACCCACCTCTGCTACGGATGAGAATAAGGAGTCCCCTGGGAGCTCCGGGGCCTCACCCACCACCTGGAACATCCCAATGCTTCTCCTGATCAACTAGAGCAGGACACAGGCCCCCAAAATGCCACCGTAGCTGGCCTTCTCCTATAAGCACCACCTACTGGCAGGGAGGACAACTTACACAGCCTAATACAGCATTTACTGATTCAATCATATGGGGCATGGCTGACTCTCAACCACAAGCACCAGCTGCTAACTTGGAGATTAAACTGGACATCCCAATAGAATTCATACTGTTAAGAAGTCCACAGGGCTGGGGAAAGAAAAAAATTTCAAAGACCTCCATCTCCCTTTCTTGATAAGAGGCAGGAAATCTGCCCACCCACATAGTACACCACTGCTACAGCCTACAAATAACTAGCAATTGAGAAAACTGAAACATTAAGGCTCTCTAGAACCAAAGTAGCCATCTATAACCTAGACCCCTATCAAAGTACCCACAAGCAAAGCCAAAGGTCCTAACCCAACATATGCTACAGGCATACCCTTAAGAGAGAAGGGGAAAAAAGTCCCATCAAAGCAAAAGAAAATTCAAAAACAAGTGATACCGTGTTTCCCCGAAAATAAGACAGGGTCTTATATTTATTTTTCCTTAAGAAGCCACCCTAGGGCTTATTTTCAGGAGACATGTTATTTTCCCCTCAAAGCCTCAGTCTGCAGCACGCACAGCATGGCCAGGACCTGACGGGGGAGCTGACATTGTTGGTGGGGCTGCCCACATCTTTCCAGTCACCTCTGCAATAGTAGCTATCACGATGGCACAAATGAGAAGGGCTGCTCGTCTTCTTTACTGCTCCACGACGAAATGCATGGGTTGTGCAGATACTCTGTGTAGCCATGCCCATCACTAGGTCTTAATTTCGGGGTAGGGCTTATATTGCACAAATGCTTAGAAATCCTTGCTAAGGCTTATTTATGGTAGTATATTTTCGGGGAAACACGGTAGTTGCTCCAGATGAGAAGGAATCACTGCAAGAACTCTGAAAGTATGACAAATCAGAGTGAAAGAACCAACCCCCCCAAAAAAAAAAAAAAAAAAATCACTCAGCTCTAGTATGGGTCCACCAAAATGAGAATACTGAAATACAGATAATTCCAAATGTGGATTAAGGAATTCAATGACATCAAGAGAAAACAGAAACCAACACAAAGAAATCTGAAAATAATTCAAGAAATGAATGAAAATTACTAAAGAATAGATAATTAACAAAAAAATGAATAGAACTTCTGGAAAAGAAAATTATTAAGAAATATACAACGCAGTGAATTTAAAACCAGACCAAGCAGAAAAAAAAATTCAGAGCTTGGGGAGGAGGAGCAAGAGCAATATATGTAACTTAACATTTGTACCCCCATAATATGCTAAAAAAAAGAAGAAAAAAAAGGAAAAGAATTAGCAAGCTTGTAGACAACTCTTTCAATTAACACAATCAGTCAAAAATAAGGAAGAACCAAGAAAATGTCTCCAAGAAATATGAGATTATGTAAAGCACAAAAATATGTAAGAATCATAGGTATCCCTAAGGGAGAAGAAGAAAGAGCAAAAGGCCTGGAAATTCTATTGAGGGAATTATTGAGAAAACTTCCCTGATCTTGCAAAGATTTAGACATTCAGATACAAGAAGCTCAACAGTAGATTCATTTAAAAAATGGCATCACAAAGCAAACAATCATCAACTGGCCAAAGTCAGTATGAAGAAGGAACTCTTACCACACAGGAGATGAAACATCAAGTATCTTAAAGGGAAAACCCATCAGACTAATAGCAGACTTCTCAACAGAAATGTTCTAAGACAGAAGGGACTGGGGTCCTATCTTTGGTCTTCTTAAACAGAATAACCATCAGCTAAGAATTTTGTATCCTGCAAAACAAATTCATAAATGAAAGGGGAATAAGTCTTTCCTAGACAAGCAAACACTAAGGATTTGTCACCATTAGACCTGTCACAAGAAATGCTCAAAAGTGCTCTATTAAAAAAAAAAAAACAAAAAACGGTACTACTCACCAGTAAAAAGTAAGAACTCACAGCTCTTATGAAACAATACAAAGGAAGCTACAAAGCAACTGGTAACAATCAACACTAGAACTGGAACAGCATTTTACTTATTGATTAACATTACAAATGCTCTAAATTCCCCACTTAAAGATATAGACTGACAAATATAAAAAAAAAAAAATACAACCCAAATATCTACTGTCTCCCGAAGCTCATTTAACTCATATTCTCACAGACTCAAGGGGTGGAAAAAAAATATTCCACACAAACGCAAACCAAAAATAAGCAGGAGTAGATATTCTTGTATCAGATAAAACAGACTTTAAATCAACAACACTAGAAAAAGACAAAGACGGTCATTATATGATGATCAAGGGAGCAATTCAACAAGAAGATACAACAATCCTAAATATGTATGTACCTAACACTGGAACCCCCATAAAACATTCATAAAACAAATATTACTAGACCTAAGAAAACAAAGAGTAACAAAATAATAGTGGGAGATTTCAGCACTGACAGAATTGGACAGATCATGGAAGACGAAAATCAACAAAGAAACACTGGACTTAAATAAGATACCAGAACAAATGGACCTAACAGACATTTACAGAACATTCTACCCAAACCACAGAATGTACATTCTTCTCATCAGTGCGTGGCATATTCTACAAGACAAACCATATATTAGGCCACAAAACAAGTCTCAGCAAATTTTAAAAATCGAAATCATACCATAGATCTTCTCAGGTCAAATGGAATAAAACCAGAAATCAGTTCTAAGAAGAACTCTCAAAACAATACAAATTCATAGAAATTAAACAACCTGTTGCTGAATGATCTTTGGGTCAACAAAGATGGAAATTAAAACATTTTTAATTAAATGACAATAGTGACAGAAGCTATCAAAAAAACTCTGGGATACAGCAAAAGCAGTGCTAAGAGAGAAATTCATAATGCTAAATGCCTATATTAAAAAGATCACAAATTAACAACCTAATGTCACACACCAAGGAATTAAAATAACCAGAACAAACCAAGCCCAAATCTAGCAGAAGACAAGAAATAACAAATATCACAGCACAATTAAATGAAATGGAAACCAACAAAAATAGAAAGGGTCACTGAAATGAAAAGTTGGTTCTCTGAAAAGATAAATATATTGATAGACCACTAGCTAGGATGAAGAGAGAGGATTCAAACACATTCAATCAGAAATGAAAAAGGAGACATTACAACTGATACCACAGAAATAAAAAGGATCATCCAATACTATTATGAACACCTCTATGCACACAAACTAGAAAATTGAGAGGAAATGAATAAAGTCTTGGAAACACACAACTTACCAAGTTTTAATCAGGAAGAAATAGAAATCATGAACAGACCTATAATGAATAGTGAGATTGAATCAGTAATAAGAAATCTCTCAACAACAACAAAAAAAAGCCCAGGACCAGACAGATTCACAGCCAAATTCTACCAGACCTACAAAAAAGAACTGGCACCTATTCAACTGAAACTGTTCCAGAACATCAAGAAGGAGGGAATCCTCCCTAACTCATTCTATGAAGCTAGTATCACCTTGATACCAAAACCAGGGAAGGACAGAACAAAAAAAGGAAAACTACAGACCAATATCCCTTGTGAACACAGGGATGCAAAAATCTCAACAAAATACTAGCAAACCAAATTCAACAACACATTAAAAAGATAATTCACTAGGATCAAGTGGGTTTCACTCCAGGGATATAAAGATGGTTCAACATATGCAAGTCAATAAATGTGACTCACCACATAAACAGAATTAAAAACAAAAATCATATGATCATCTAAATAGATGCAAAAATGTATTTAACAAAATCCAACATCCTTTCATGAAAAAAAATCTCAACAAACTAGGCATACAAGGTATGTTACATACCTCAAAATAACAAAAGTCATTGGTAACAAACCTATAGCCAACATCCTACTGAATGGAGAAAAGTTGAAACCATTCCCCTAAGAAATGGAATGGGACAAGGATGCCCACTGTCACTACTTCCATTCAAAATATCCTACCCAGAGCAGCCAGGCAGAAGAAAGAAATAAAGGGTATCCAAACTGGGAAAGAGGGGGTCAAACTATTGCTTTTTGCTGATGATATGAACTTATATCTAGGAAACCCCAAAGATTCTACCAAGAAACTCCTGGAATTGATTAAATTCCGCAAAGTCTCAGGTTACAAAATCAAAGTACATAAATCAGTAGCATTTCTGTACACCAGTAACAGTCAAGCTGAGAGTCAAATCAAAGACTCAATACCATTCACAATAGCTTCAAAGAAAATAAAACACCTAGGAATATACTTAACCATGAAGGCAAAAGATATCCACAAAGAGAGCTATGAAACACTGAGGAAAAAAATCACAGAAGACAAACAAATGGAAAAGTATATCACGCTCATGGATTGGTAGAATCAACATTGTTAAAATGTCCATAGCACCCAAAGTGACTTACAGTTTCAATGCAATCACCATGCAAATACCAACAGCATAATTCACAGATCTAGAAAAAATAATTCTGTGCTTCGTCTGAAACCCAAAAAGAGCCCGAATAACCAAAATACTCTTAAGCAAAGAGAACAAATCTGGAGGCATCACATCACCAGACTTCAAATACCACAAAGCTATACCACAAGGCTATAAAAACCAAAACAGCAAGGTATTGACACAAAAAGAGAGATACAGAGCAATGCAATAGAACAGAAAATACATATATAAAACCATCTACATACAGCCAACTGATCTCTGACAAAGCAAACAATATACACTGAAGAAAAAAAGTCCTATTCAATAAATGGTGCTGGGACAACCACAGTTCCACTTTGAAGGATGAAGCAGGATCCATCCCTCTTACCACTCACACAAATTAATTCAAGATAGACAAAATAACTTAAGTGTAAGGCATGAAACCATAAAGAATCTAGAGGAAAATGTAGGGAAAATTCTTCTAGATATTGGCCTGGGCAAAGAATTTATGAAGAAGACCCCAATGACAATTACAAAAATAAATAAATGGAACTTGATTAAATAAAAAAGCTTCTGCATGGCTAAGGAAACAATCAAAAGAGCAAACAGACAACCTACAGAGTGAGAGAAAATATTCGCAAACTATGTATCTGATAAAGGGCTAATATCCAGAGTCTACAAAGAACTCAAACAAGCAAGCAAGAAAACCTGTTTTTAACCCTGTTAAAAAGTGGGCAAAAGACATGAACAGAAGCTTTCCAAAAGAAGATAAATGGCTAATAAACATATGAAAACATGCTCAACATCACTAATCATCAGGGAAATGCAAATTAAAACCACAATGAGATATCACCTTAGCCCTGTTAGAATGCCTTTTATTAAAAAGTCCAAAAATAATAGATGCTGGAGTGGATACAGAGAGAAAGGACCGTTTATACACTGTTGGTGGGACTGCAAATTAGTACAACCTCTATGGAAAACAATATGGAGATTTCTCAAAGAATTATATGCCCATCAACTGATGAATGGATAAACAAAATGTGATACGTCCATAAAATGGAATCTTGTTTGGCCATAAAAAGGAAATACTAATATGTGCTACAACATGGATAAAACATTACACTTGAAAGCTTTCCATCTAAGATCAGGAAAAAAGACAGGGATGCTCACTTTCACCACTGCTAGTCACCACTGTACTGGATGTTTCAACCAGAACAATTAGGCAAGAAAAATAAGAGGCATCCAAATTGGAAAGGAAAATTAAAACTATACTTAATCACATATGGCATGATTTTATGTATAGAAAATCCTAAATAATTCACAAAAAAGTATTCAAGCTCATAAACAAATCCAGTAAAGCTACAGAATATAAGATCAACATGCCAAATTCCGTTATATTTCTATAATAGCAATAAACAATCTGAAAAGGAAATTAAAAAAACAATCCCATTTATACTCAAAAAGAATAAAATACTTAGGAATAAATGTAACTAAGAAGTAAAAGAGTTGTACACAGAAAACTATAAAACATTGCTCAAAGAAATTAAAGATGACTTGAATAAATTGAAAGACATTCCATGGTTACGTATTAGAAGACTTAATATTGTTAAGATAGTGATATTCACCAAATCAACCTACAAATTCAATGCAAGCCCTATCAAAATCCTAATGGCTTTTTTCTGGTGGGTTGAAAAACAGATTCTGAAATGCATATGTAATCGCACAGATCCTGAATAGCAATTTTGAAAATGAAGAAAAAGGTGGAGGACTTGTAGATTTCAAAACTTAATAATCAAAACAGGATGGTACTGTCAAAAGAAGACACATAGACAAATGTAATGAAGTCCAGCAATAAACCCATAAATCTATAATCTATGGTTGACTGATTTTTTTTGTCTGTTTTACAAGAATGCTAAAGAACATTCACTTGGGAAAAAATGTTCTTATCAGTAAATGGTGCTGGGAAAACTAAATATTCACATGTGAAAGAATGAAGTTAGACCCCTACCACAAACCACATACAAAAATTAAAAATAGGGCCAGGCACGGTGGCTCACGCCTGTAATCCTAGCACTCTGGGAGGCCAGGGCAGGCGGATCACTCAAGGTCAGAAGTTTGAGACCAGCTTGAGCAAGAGCAAGACCCCATCTCTACTTAAAAAATATATAGAAAGAAATTAGCTGCACAACTAAAAATATACAGAGAAAAAATTAGCAGAGCATGGTGGCACATGCCTATAGTCCCAGCTACTCGGAAGGATGAGGCAGAAGGATCATCTGAGCTCAGGAGTTTGAGGTTGCTGTGAGCTAGGTTGATGACATGGCACTCTAGCCCAGGCAACAGAATGAGACTCTGACTCAAAAAAAAAAAAAAAAAATTAAAATACATTAAGGGCTTAAATGTACTAACAAACACTATAAAAGTCGTAGAAGAAAACACAGGGATAAATCTTCATGACCTGGATTTGGAAAAGCACAAGCAACTAAAGGAAAAACTAAATCAGACTTCATCAAAATTTAAAACTTTTATGCAAAGAAAATGGTGAACTAATACCTCCTGTATTAACCTGGATGTAGCTGGAGCTCATTCTTCTAAATAAAGTATCACAAGAATGGAAAACGAACACCACATGTACTCACCATTAAATTGGAACTAATAGAGCAACACTTATGTGCACATATGGAAATAACATTCATTGGAAATCAAGCAGGTGTGGGGGGGATGGGTACATTCACACCTAATGGGTACAACGCACACTACCTGGGAGCTGGGGCCCACTTAAAACTTTGACTCAAACTGTACAAAAGCAATTTATGTAACCAAAACATTTGTACCCCTGTAATATTCTGAAATTGAAAAAAAAAAAAACTTTTGTGCATTGAAGAACGCTATAAAAGAAAGTAAAAAGATAAACTAGAGTATAAGAGAAAATGTTTGCAAATCATATATCGGATAATTTTTAAAAAATTGTTACTCAGGATATATGATAAGGGTCTAGCATCCAGAATATATACACAACTCATACTTTTCAACACACAAACCGATATTAAAAATGGGCAAATGACTTGACATTTCTCCAAAGAAGATATACAAATGGCCAATAGGCACATCAAAAGATGCTCAATATCATTAGTCATGAGGGAAACAAATCAAAACCACAATGAGATACCACTTCATGCCCACTAGGATGATTATCATTAAAAAGACAGAAAATAACAAAAGTTGCCAAGGATGTGGAAAAATGGGTGATAGAAACATTAAATGGCATCGCTGCTATGGAAAACAGTTTGGCAATTCTCCCAAAAAGTTAAGCCATAAGCATATGGCAAAAGCAATTCCACATTTAGATATATATATATATATATATATATGCAAAAGAACGAAAACTAGGTATTCAAACAAGTATTTATACATAAATATTCCTAGCTAACTATGCACAACAGTCAAAAGGTGGAAACCAACCAAATGTCTACCGACAGATGAATGGATAAAATGTGGCAGACACACACAATGGAGTATAATTCAGCCATAAGAAGGAATAAAGTGCTGAGACACACTACAACATGGACAAACCTCAAAAACATGCTAAGTGAAAAGCCAGATACAAAACTGTATGATTTGTAACATACTGTATGAGTCCATTTACATAAAAATTCAAAACATAGTTAAACCCAGAGAGTCGGAAAGCATATTAACGGTAGCCAGGAGCTGGGGGAGGGGAGACTGAGGCTTAATGAGTGCAAGGGTCTCCTTTAGAGGTGAAGAAAATGTTTGGAACCTGAAAGAGGTGACAGTTGCACAATACTGTGAATGTATTAAGTGCCACTGAATTGTACATTTTAAAACAGTTAATTTTATATTACATGAATGTCTTGGAAGAAAGGAAATTAGGAAAGGAGGAAGAAGGATGGAAGTTGGAACAAAGGAAGTTAGATGGTTGGAAGGAAGGAAGGAAAAGAGGAATGGAGGGAGGAAGGAGGCTTAAAAGTGCCTATCTCCACAACACAGCCAAGGATAGAACAAAGTCACTGATGCAGCTGAAGAGTCAAGTGCATCAGACATCAGTGAGGTTCCTTAGAAGATATTCGCCAGTACTCCTCTCATCCATTTCCTACTTCACACCCTACTTTTCAGATCCGCTTTGCCCGTATATACATTTCTCATATAAAAACAAACTTCTCTGAGGCAGAAGGATCACTTGAGGCCAGGAGTTCAAGACTAGTATGGACAACACAGCAAGACTCCATTTCTAAAATAAAAAAAAAAAGAAAGAAAAAAGAAATTTTTTTTAATTAGCCAGGAATGGTGCTATGCACCTGTAGCCCCAGCTACTCAAGAGGCTGACGTGGGAAGCCAGGAGTTCAAGGCTCCAGCGAGCTATGATTGCACCACTGTACCCCAGCCTGAACGACAGAGTGAGATCCCATCTCTTTTTGTTAAAAAAAGAGATCTATCTATCTCTATCATCCTCTTCTATCTCCTCTCCCCTACTCAAGACCTCTAGGACAAGCAAACACATGGTGCTTTTTGTCCCCAGGAACTGACTGTATCAGTCACCATGTGCTTTACGAATACAAACAACAGTACTTTTAAAGTTCCAAAAGAGGCTGGGCATGGTGGCTCACGCCTGTAACCCTAGCAGTCTGGGAGGCCGAGGTAGAGTTGTTGAGCTTAGGAGTTCGAGACCAAGCCTGGAGCAAGAATGAGACCCGTCTTCTACAAAAACAGAAAGAATTAATTGGATCAACTAAAAATATGTAGACAAAACAAGCCGGGCATGGCTGCCGCTGCGCATGCCTGTAGTCCCAGCTATTCAGGAGGCTGAGGCAGAAGATTGCTGAGCCCGGAGTTGAGGTTCCGTGAGACGTAGGCTGATGCCATGGCACTCAGTTCCCGCGGCAACAGAGTGATTACCTCTGGTTCCGTCGAAAACGTCAACCTAGACTAGATAGATTAGATAGACAGATCAGACAGACAGACAGACAGACAGACAGAGTTCTAAAAGAAATGTTTCTTTACCTTTTGCCAAGTTCTCGTTTCTTAGCTCTTCTGGGCTCCTTTCCGATAAGGGTCTCCGTATAGCGATCGTCGGCAAGCAACATCTTCTGTCCTTCTTCAGGGACCTGGCGTTCATGTTCTCAGCAGACCTTGTTGGGGATTTAAAAAAACAGTCTGTAAGGCACGAACACCAAGTAAAATTCTCCTTTAGGCTTCTCCACTGTTCCAGCCAGAATAAAGCCAATTAGGTTAGATCCATACATCACTTTTCTGGACCTTCAAATGACCTGGCGCTCCTAGTGAAGGACAAAGGAAAAGTCTGGGCAAACCACTAGAAACCACCAACTTAGACTCTGTCAAAATAAGAATTTAGAAAATACAGCCTTCTTTCAGCTTCTGTTCAGTCTCAGTCACAACATAATTACTACAGAGCAGAAAAGGCAGAGGCTCAGAATGGGATCTTGCCAAGGCTTTCAAATGCTGCATGACTAAATCGGTATAAATTAAATGAAAGATTTTAGCCCCTTCACAACCTGGGGGAGGAGTTTGCACATGTCTTCAGCTTCTTGTGCTGATCAAACCCAACATGAAGGAACAACCACTGAAAGTACGAGATGCCCTAAAGAAACCTTTATTCCATCTCATTCCATTAGTTAGTGGAGGTAAGAAACACCTTCTTTTGTAGTTTTTAAAAACATTTATCTCGTAGGGCGCAGTGGCTCCTGCCTGTAATCCTAGCACTTTAGGAAGCCAAGGTGGGAGGATTACTTGAGCCTAGGAGTTCCAGACCAGCCTGAACAAGCAAGACCCTGTCTCTACTACAAATAAGAAAGAATTTAGCCAAACAACTACAAATTGAAGAAATTAGCCCGGCGCGGTGGCGGGTGCCTGTAGTCCAGCTACTCGGGAGGCTGAGGCAGCAGGATTGCTTGAGCCCAGGAGATTGAGGTTGCTGTGAGCTAGGCTGACACCATGACACTCTAGCCCAGGCAACAGAGTGAGACTCTGTCTCAAAACAAAACAAGAAACATATATCTCATCTGATACCTTTAAAAAAGATCCTAGTGTATAATTCAGAGACATGACTGATCAACAGCCACATAGAAACTTTCCACATTAAGACCAATCCTGCAGCCCTGGTCCCCTGCGCACAGAGCCCCTGGGAGTGGCCAGGGAGGCCGCTGCCCTTGACTCTCCCCTCTTTTCCTGCCCAACCCCCATCTGCAAGGCTAAGAGGAAGCCAGAGAAGCACCCAAACCTTAGGTGCAAAATTGAAGGGGCACCAAAACACTCAACATAAATATTTTGATGCAATATGTTTTAAAATCAAAGTTAATTTTAAAAAATCCATGATGGGCCAGGTGCAGTGGCTCATGCCTGTAATCCTAGCACTCTGGGAGGCTGAGGCGGGCAGATTACTCGAGGTCAGGAGTTTGAAACCAGCCTGAGCAAGAGTGAGACCCCGTCTCTACTATAAAATGAAAGAAATTAATTGCCAACCATATTATAGAAAAATGAGCCGGGCATGGTGGCGCATGCCTGTAGTCCCAGCTACTCAGGAGGCTGAGGCAGGAGGATTGCTTGAGCCCAGGAGTTTGAGGTTGCTGTGAGCTAGGCTGACACCACGGCACTCACTCTAGCCTGGGCAACAAAGTGAGACTCTGTCTCAAAAAAAAAAAAAC